TCGATAAACAAAAATATATTCATTTTTCTATCTGACGTCGTGCGATTCGCAGGGTTACGTACTTGTCGAGAGCATGGACCATCAGCAAAGGTAGGATTCTTTTTTTTTTCTTTTGGTGGCGGTTCTGCTTAAATTTTTTTGTCGAGTTGTTCGTCAGATGGACATATTTTAACTATAGTAGCAATTGCAATCAAAGATATTTCGGTTCGACTGTTGTTTTCCGAAGACACGATCCTGGAAGAAGATAACGATTTCCATAAAACAGTTGAATAAATGGAATTGATAAACACACGTACAGTGTTGATAATTATGGCAGCGAAGAATAAAATTCAAAGAAAACGTAATAACTAATGAGTAAAAAAAAAAAAAGGTAAATTCGCCTATTATTGTGCTAGATCTGCCATCAAATGACCAACTATAATCAACTTAATTACAATTAATTAACGGTAGACAATAGTTCAATTACAGAGATCCAATTGTTCAATTGTGCATACTTGCGAAAATATTGTGATGGAATTGCATCATAATTTTAGTCAACAGGGTCTATTTCATTAAGTCAACTGTTTTATTCAAGTTGTGTTCCTCCAGAGCCATTTACCAGATAAAACGGTAATCAAGCCTATATTTCTTTGGATAATGCCCGAAATTATTTTACCCGAAAACTTTTATTTCTTAAAAAAAAAAAAAAAAATGCCATGGTGTTTATTCGACCCAAAAAATACCGAGATAATCTTTTTAGGCTTAACTAAATGTATAGTATTTTTTTTTTCTTATAAAGAACTTTAAAAATGTATACTCGTTGGACGTTAAAAAGATTTACGTTTTCATCTTGTTTTTTGTGCCATTTTCCTTCAGAACGTAAGCAATTATATTTTTCCACAACTTCCATTCTTTTCACGCATTCAGTATTACTTAAACATGGTCTTTAAACAGTTTATTAATATACCCGTCGTATTTCCTATTACTTTTTAATGCCCCTTTAAGTAGTCGAAGTCAGGGCGGAACTTTTTACCTTAAGTCTCTTCATCTGTGAAGAAATTATCCAGCATATCATGAGCATATAGGAGGATTGGTATTACATTTACACTTATTTCTAACGAAATTTTCGCCGTGTTTTTTTTTTTTTTTAACTTACACACCATCTTTTGTAATTTTTTTTTTTTTTGCTATTCTAATGCATTTGTGGATTTCAGTGTCCTATTTATCGTCCTCTTTTCAAACAATTCGCAAATATTTAAATTTTCGTATATTTGATTTTGATGACTACAGGAGACACAGTACATAGATGAAATAGGGCGCCTCGGCCTGGTGTAATAGTGAGCAAGCTTGTCTCGCAAAAACTGTTACGACTGAATGGTGAGTTCGATCCTCATTGGGTGCCCCATAGTTTCGGCCTTGTGCCACATCTAAGCAATGCTTAGAAAATCAATACATAGATGATATAATTAGATTGCCTTTCGGGCAGTATTTTTTTTTTTTTTTTTAAGGATGCATGTTGATTTTTTTTTTTTTTGGTGGGGTGGGGAGTTTGAAATATGAAACCAAATTCATGCCTAATTTAAAGAAGAAAATCAGTTTTCCGCATGTCGGAATTGTTGTAAACACTGAAATGGACTATTCTATTCACAAAAATAATATTTCATTTATTTTTAATCATTTCACACCAAGCAAGGCGATAATCCCACTAAGACGCAAGGGGGTATGAAAGAGAATGAGAACTTTAGTGGGGACCAAGGAGAATAAGAGAACAGGTTCCAGGAAGATAGGTGAAATTTTTGAAGACTGTAGTTGGCAGTAACTCAAGAAAGCGAAAGAGGCGAGAAGTGCTAGAAAATAAACTATTAGTATAGAACTTGCGGTTATATCTACCTAATTCAACATTAAAACGATGAAACCTTGTTGCCAATTTAGTACTACGTTTAAATTCATGCGCTCTGAGTGCCCGGGGAGGTGGGGACATCATTGAAAATAATTGCCATTATTCTTCTTGGGATTTTGTCGAGAATCTCGAAATGTATAGTACCCGTCCAGATATTGCTTTATTTGGGATGAAATGATAATAAAAAAAAGAAAAACATTGAATTATGAAACTGTGTATTTTAAAGAATAAAAAGGAACAAATACATTTTCACCACAAAAAAATAATTTTCAAAAAATTTTCATAAAATAGAATCTGCAATGTTATCGGTCTTCACCTAGCATCTCGGCTTCAGTCACTTTTCCACCGTCATAACATAGCTTCTCTCTACCTTTTCTATAAATACTTTCATGGTAATTGTTCTGATTTTTTTTTTTCTTTGGTATAAGGAGCCGACTGGGAGTGGCATTTTGATGCCGGTTGGGTATCAAGATATTGGTCATCTCTATTAAACATCACCAACACTCGCTCAAAAATAGGGTAGTTTAGGTTTATTTTTTCCTTTAGTTTCTTTCAAGTTAACTTAGTGTGAGAATGTCTGCTCATTGTCTCACTTTAATTTTTGTGCCCTCTTTCTTTCGTTTAATTACACCCTCTCTATTTCAGTCAGTCATGTACCATGCGTGATACATGCTTAAGCAATCGTGTATCTTTCGATACATGACTGACGAAACAGATTTTTTTCCCGCAGTAGATTGTCATTTCTTTCTGCGGTAGACCAGTTGACATCCGAGGCTATAGAACCCGGTCTGTCCTGTTATTTACCCATAGCTAAGGTAGGAAGAAGATTCATACCTTTCTCAAGGGTATTAACACGTAAGTGAATGTAATAGATTCGACTGGAATTCGAACTCGGCTCTCCGATTCCTCAATCTGAGTCGCTATTCATTACTCCACTGTGCCTCTATTGAGGCGGCCAGAAATGTCAGTTCTCCGCATTCATTTTTTTTTTTGGTCGTTTTGAGTGTTTTTTGTATACGTTGCTGTGTTTGAGTGAATGTTTGGTCGAATGATTGCTTGAATTATTTAAATCCTGCATTAATTTCCTTCTACTAACTGATGTTTCTGCTACTTTTAAGAATTGTTGGGTTTTATTGCTAACACTATATTGTTTAGTGCCTTTTATATAAAATTGTAATCATTGTAAATATTCATTTCGGGTTTCATTTTTAAATGTTATTATATCCCCCCCCAAGACAAATTGAACATATGGGAACTAGTTAGGACTATATATACTTTGAGGCATTGTGGTGGATGTAGTAAGAATGTGTTGTTTTGCTGTAAGGAATAATATATCGTATATTTGAGTCAGTACTTGTGGCTAGCTAAGTTTAAGATAAAATAGATTGAAGACCAAACTTCCCCTATCCCCTACTTTTGGCCTTGTGCCACATTTTTGTATTCTCAAAATTTATGAATTTAATCGCAGTACTAGATTGGCAGCTAGGTCTCATTTTAGAATTTAAATTACTAGATGTAACCGTAAGGTCTATGCTAACAGTTTTTTCTATCGCATTTCTCGATTGTGGAACTCTCTTCTTACTTTCCGGTTACAGTTTTGAAGATGAGTCTTAATCGTTATCTTCTGTTTTCTTAGTTCTGGTTCTTTTATTGTTCTCTCGCCTTAACGTTTTTCTTTTTCTCATTCTTTCGCACTTAGTAAACCCTTGCGTCTTAATGGCTTTCTTGCCGTGTTTGGGGTGCAATGATTAAAAAAAGAAAAGAAAAACAGTTAAACAGAAAACTACGAAAAACTGTACTGTAAAAAAATAATGAATAACGTAGGACAGAAATATATTTTCACAAAAAATAATTTTCAAAAAAATATTAAACTAAGGTGAAGGAAAGAAATGTTAATTTGCAATATGAATGAAGAGAAATAATATAACGATTTAGCGATATAATGAACCTAAAAATGGCTGATTGGATAGCGAATCCTTTCGACTGCAAATGTTCCTAAAGCTGATATATGTTCAAAAGCATTATTAGAACTAAGGTAGGAAGAAAGCAAATCCAATAATGGTAGCTACCAAAACCTCTACCAAAATAAAAAAAAAAGATTGTTTTTATCCAAGGGAATCCATATTTAATTTGCTAAACAAAATAAAAAATAAGATTATCTGATTCCCTATCTTACAACAGCAATAAAAGAAAAAAAAAAGTAACAAAACTTGAGAACCCACTGCTGTTAAAATTGCTATGAAGGTTGGATTCTTTATCCAACAGTAAAGAAATAGTTTTAAGCAACATGGGAATTAGAGGAAATAACCAAGCAGATTCAGCAGCAAATTCTGCTCAAAATGAATCCTTGATAATTTCCAGAAATCTTTTACGAGCCTAAAAAGTCAAATAAATTATGTTCAACAGAAACGGCAAAGGCGCTGGACAGACAACACAAATAATAAACTTCTCACAATCGAACCATTCCTAGGTGAATATAAACAAAATGTCTAGAAAAGGCAAAAAATAAAAAAACTTTCTGAAGAATGAAAATCAACCAAAATACATGTCAAACTGCACTTACGGTAAAACGCATTTTAATTGAATGTATTCACTTATTCAATTTTCTATCTTAAATAAATAGGTTTATACCAAAATTCCTACATTAGATCATGTGTAAACTACTTATCGATAAAATATACGTTTACCTTTTTAAAGTAGAAAATTACGTACAAAATATATATTTGAAGGCTTTGGAGTTCGGTCTTAGATAACCCATGAAGATGTTGATATGCCGACAACCAAACCAAATCTAAATCGCTGCTACTGCAGTAATGATTATCGCCTCGGGTTGAGAAATTTGAGAGCCGAGTTCGAATTTTAATCAAGTTCATTCGCTTACGTGCTAATAAGTTAGAAAAGGTATGAATTCATCTTTCTTCCCTCTCAACTGTGGGCAAAATCGCAGGACAGAATAGGTCGTATAGCTTTGGGCAGCAACCAGTCTCGGAAAAGGAAACCACCTACTTCCTTGCAGGTCCTGCTTCTTTACAATTATTAGAACTAAAATATAATGAAGAAACGAATAAAATATATATATATTCTTATATCCAAGGGAAGCCATATTTAATTTGCTAAACAGAAATCCCTCTCTCTCCTCTCTCTCCTCTCTCACTCCTCTCACTCCTCTCTCTCCTCTCTCACTCCTCTCTCTCTCTCTCTCTCTCTCTCTCCTCCTCTCTCTCTCTCCTCTCTCTCCTCCTCTCTCTCTCTCTCTCTCTCTCTCCCTCCTCTTCTCTCTCCTCTCTCTCTCTCTCTCCTCTCTCTCTCTCTCTCTCTCTCCCCCCTCTTCTTTCTCTCTCTCTCTCTCTCCTCCTTTCTCTCTCTCTTTCTCTCTCCTCTTTCTCTCTCCTCCCTCTCTCTCTCTCCTCCTCTCTCTCTCTCTCACTCCTCTCTCTCTCTCACTCCTCTCTCTCTCTCCTCCTCTCTCTCTCTCTCTCTCTTCCACTCCTCTCTCTCTCTCTCCTCTCTCTTTCTCACTCTCTCACTTACTCTCTCACACACACACACACACACAGTTGTGTTCACCCTGTACAGGACCCGGTGGCCACTTGTGGTAGAGGGTTGTAGAGTAAGAGGCACACCTTATGCCGTTTAAGTGTGGAAGATAACGGTAAACCCTAAACATGAACAGGTTAAGATTGTAGTGATCGAGGAAGCAACCTCTCAGGAGTCGGTTCCAGAATGCAGTGGTTCGTTGGAAGAAGCTGCTTGAGTAGAACTTGCATCTCACCCGGGGAATATGACGGTGGTTCGCTACAATGTGCATGACGCGGAGGCTCTTAACCGTAAAAGTTAGGACTGGTAAACCTAAGGGGTGTAGTTCTTCTGAACACTCTCTATGGAAATAGCGATAGAGCAACGCGAGACTTACGACGCCTCGTCTGTGATAAAGGGGTTGCAATGTAAAAAAATAATTCGCCACTTACAAGGACGCAGGAGACGCTTTTGGATTCTATCGAAAGTGAAGACCGGGCTGCTCCACTCGTATAGGGGCAATACTCCATTTTTAGCCTGATCTGGCTCTTGTATAGATAGACGATAGCACGAGGAGTCAGGCACTTGCTAGAGCGGTATAGAGACTAACAATTTTCCCAGCATCTTTAGCAGTGGATCGTATGTTATAATTATTAGTATTGGTTGGATTATATGAGAATTTCACAAATCTATAGTATTGATTTATTACTCCTTTTTTTCTACAATAAAATATCAAACTTAATTACTTGAAACCCAGATGACCCTTGTGGAATACTTAATTTCAAAAGCCGTGGTACTGGACGTGATAAGCTATAAACGTAGCAAGAATTCTGCTTTGGAATTTTGGAAATTCCAGAAGACCATAAATTTTGTCATAATACTCAGGGGGACAATTGTATAGGCTGGGTAAAATCTAGTTTTAATAAATCTTTATTTCAGATTCAAATCATCCCAGGGCCTTTTATTGCTTCCAATTATTATAGAAGCAACATTCGTTCTTTCTTTCTTTTTTCTTTTCAACGTTTAATTAGGTTCTCTCACCTTTCTCACGGTTTAATCCTAATTGATTCCCGCTTCAAATCATCATTAGGCATTTTAATTCATTAAAAGGTTAACCTCAGGGGTGACCACCCTGTTACATCGCTTGTTTACGGCCGTATCATGTTTAAACACCAGTTCATGTACGATCACTGAAGTTAAGCAGATTTAAACTCTGACATAATGCCATCTATGTTTTTTTTTTGTTTTTTTTTATAGTTTCAACTAGAAATATTGCTATATAAGAACTATTAGACTTTAATTGGTAAATCAAATTGAATGTATTAACACATAAACACTAGTTTTGCATATTTGAACACTTACATAATGCGAGAAATATTTGTATTAAAGTTACCAACAGAAATTGATATGACTTAAGGCCATATCACGTTGAAACGCCGCTTCTCATATGATCACCGAAGTTAAGCAACCTCGAGTCTGGTCACTACCTAAATAGTTGACCGCTTGGGAATATCAGAAGCTGTAAGCTTGGGTTTGCAGATGGTGTAATGGATAATGAGTCGAGTTCCATTTTCTGTTGCGTTCGTTGTATTTACTTATGTGCAAATACCCTTGAGAAAAGTAGGAGTCCACCTTTTCTCCCCCAGCTGTGGGTTAATTAGTAAGATTTGTATCACTAAAAACCATTACTCTCATCAAAAGAATTTTTACACTCTAAAAATATTTTCTGGCTTTAAATAACTTACAAAGGGTTGATAAACCGTAAAAACGTCTCGATCAATCAATGTTATATTCCTCATGCGGTAAAAGTTTGAACCAGGGTTACCACCCTTTTATAATTACAAACGTTTGCAAACTAAAACAGTGGATTTTATTTTCATCTTTTTCTTATTATTTTTTGCCCAATGCTCCGTTTTCGACATATAAATGAATCACATCCACACCTTTCCAAGAATGCCCGGCTCAAAAGGTGCATTTCAGATAATATGCATAGATTGAAAATCTTCATTCTTTTTTTCCACTAAAAATATTTTAAATTCCCCTGCGTCTTATATGCCATATGTAGTTTCAAAATTCGCGATCGTCGGCCGAAATTAGGTATCTGGCAACTCCTATTAGCTTAGACTTAAACATGAAGAAGCAATGGAATACGTGAATGCCAATGCCTGATCACGACCTTGCATTTACAGGAAGAATAAAAAGACCCAGCATTGTACAAGTCTGCGAATAGTTGAAGCAAGCTTGGAATAATATTAGACCAAAAATTGTTGTGAAATCTTTTAAAAAGTATGGTATTAGCAATGTTCTCAATAGAAGCATGAAAAAATCGATTATTTCTACTATCGATGGGAATTGGGAAATGCAAAGTCAGTCTTGGCCTTCACGCTAACTTGGAGCATGTGCATGTAAATTTTGGTGCAAATCCGTCGAAAATTGCAGTCACTTTCTCACCGTCGTGATGTGGCTTCCCACTGTCTTTTCTACAAATATTTTCATGGCAATTGTTCTTTTAAGCCTTTCTTCTTTGTGCCTCGACTTCATGAATTTAAGCATGCCACTAGGTTGTCAGTTAGGTCTCGCCATTTTTACTGTTGAGCTAGTTACATACAACCGCCTGTGGAACTCCCTTTCCATTTCTTGCTTCCCTGCCATCTATGTTCAACAATTTAAATGCAACGCCAATCTCCATCTCTTGTCTTCCTGAAACTTGTTCTTTTATTGCCCCTTTTCCTCACTTCTCCTCATTAAAGTCTTCTCGTTCCCTTTCACTCTTTGTAATCCACTGTGTCTTAGTGGCATAGTCGCCTTGCTTGGAGTTAAATGATTGTTATATTCCGTGATAATAGGAAAATCACTGGAGCAATACGGTGGATAACTAAATAAAGGTTATTGTAAAACCAGTAGGGAGTGCTGCTGTTTGGAAGGTCGAATAGTTCTAGAGTAAGTCGGAGTCGTATTCAACAGATCCCCGCAAATCTCGAGAAATATTCGACCTTCCAAACAGCAGCACTCACTACTGGTTTTACAATAACCTTTATTTAGTTATTCACCGTATTGTTCCTGTGATTTTCCTATTAACACGGAATATAACAATGGTAAAAGAGTTTATCGTCAAGATAAATATCTTGCATTGCTCCAGCAGAAAATGCAATTGCAATATTACTTAAATAACCTTGTCATTTACCGGTGGGACGGCTCATGTTAGCTATTTTTTAATATAATTTTGCATTGAATGTTTGATAAAACAAGTCTTTCTTACATTTGATACTAGTCAATAGGTAAATCAAAATCCTAGATGACACCCCCAAAATATATAATCAATATAATCAGCAAAGTTTTAAATATGGTCATCATTTTTTGACAGTAAGGATAATAATAACCATATCATTTCAGGGCCAGTGCATACTACAACCCCTGCGGCGGGAGGTAAGCCTGATTTGGGGCCCCAGACAGTTCTTTGTGACCATCGCTGTCTTATCAAAAAAAAATTTTTTTTTCTACATTTATATATGTTAAAAACTAAGCACTACTGACTGTGAAAAATGACTGTGAGGGTGAAAAATTGTCGCGGATTTTGACGTCATTCTGGGGATCCTTTTTTTTTTTTTACCTCCAAATTTCTTTTACTTATGCTAAGCCTCGAAAAAAACTGTATAAAATCACTAATTTTTATCCATAATGTTGAATGTGTTAAAATTATTTAACTTTTTAACAAGAAAAATCTCAAGTTGATGTTAAAATTTACCACAAAACATTGTTAATTTAAGATGGAATGATCTATTATGACATGTCTCTAACTTGTATTTAGATATATTGATTTTCAACTTTTTCTAGTTGAATTGTCCACATATATTGCATATGATCCATTATTGCGCATAATTTGGTTACAATAAAATTTGTATTTTATTTGAATACTATCTTATGAACATTGAGACGTAGACAGTGAAGATAATATGGCAGGTTAACGGTAGCGAGGGGGTCCCGTATCATAGATTGGGTGGGTATAATAGATTGGTGGTAAAACGACTTGCACCGGCCCTGATAATCGTCATTTTAATATTCCGCATAGTTCAAAATGGATGTCAAAATCGGAAACTGGAAGTGTGTGTTGCGCCTAAGTAAGTAAGGCTTGGCTGTCTTGAAAAGTGATCGTCAAACTTTTCTTTAGTAGCGTGTGAGCATGTGGCGCATTAGGTTGTCGTTCCAATTTGTCAACCTCTGTGTTGTGTCCTTGTCTTTTGTTATCCATTTAACGATCCTAATGGACCTCTTGTTGTCTCGGCGACGGGCGAGATACCCTGCCTATCTGTGTTTGGCGTGACAAATGGATTATATCAGGAAATTCCTGTCTGACTCCTTACTCAGATGTTGTGTTTTCTGTCTTGGAATTTAATGCTTGGTTTTAGCCATTTCATTTTTCTCCTGATTAGGCTAAATATCTTTGTTAATTTTCCAGGTCTTGCAGTCCAACATTATAACTGGTAGGAGGAACAAATTAAATGCTCTCCTCTTCCGGTCTGCTGTGACTTTCCTGTTCGTCTTAATATTGTCAAATTTCGTGAATAAATTAATTAAATTAAACTATGCAAGACCAGGTCCAACTTACCTCGTTATGGATTCCGGGGGAAACATCTGAAATCAAAACCGGATGGAGCAAAAAGACAACACTATATAGGAGGGAAGCGTGAAAAGCCTTTATTTCATTGGCTGACAATGACTGACGTATGACAGAGCGGTCGGACACCTAGCCATATCTGAATGTTTCTTTTCAATGTCAAGTCGCATATCACGACGCTATCAAGGAGGCGGCCTGACCCTTCTAGAATCAGGTCGGGTTTGCTGTTTGAGCCGATATTATGCAAAACCCGAAATCGGCGATGAGGACAACGCATCACTTAATACCACACTTGATGCATTTGAAATGCATTATGCAACTTGCATTTACTATTAATTATAGGCCTATGCAAAATACCAGTATTAATTATTGCAGAAATATCCTTGGGAAAGGTGTCGATGCACCTCCTCTTCATCTTTTCCCTCAACTAGAGTTAAATAACATGGCAGACTGGCTTCTCTAGTCATGGTTAGCAACTAGTTTAGGAGGACAATTCAAAAACATACGTGGCAGTGACTGGATACTGAAGTGTAACTAAAGTTCGATCGATAAACCCAAATTTGGTCTTGTAGGTTTTGAAGAAAGACAAATAGGCCTTCGTCTTGGATATGATGATAAAATATATCCGATAGCAAGGCCTCTGATTGGCAGGTTTTCAGGAACGTGAAACCACCTCTTAATTGCTGTTCTCAGGTCCACCCTGACCCGGAATGGTAAGAGCTGTTAAGGCCCCACCTATGGGCAAATAGTTAAACTTATAAAAACAACAGCCAAAACATATGAAAGTTTAAAAATATATTTTTGTAGTAAGAATCCCAGCAATATATTTTCACAGTAAAAAAAGTTATCAGCAATACATGCTGGAAAAAGGGAAAAATTACCAGCAATACATTTTTGGAAAATAAATCACCAAAGCTCAAAAAAAAATTAAATTTCGGCATTAACTGACCCATAAGGAGTTGATGTGCCCTCAAAGAAAGCAAATCAAATAAATAGGCCTGTGCAAAAAGGCTTTCTCAAAAACAAGTAGCCATCTTGAATATAAGAAATCATACTAATTTCAAGTCGAAACGCCTCTGATTTTGTGTAATACCAGAATAGATAGCGTTGCATTAATGAGGCCAAAAGGTTTGCCTTAAAAATCAGCATTCTAACTACATCTGTTTTAACTGGTATCGAGCGGTAACCACTGATGAAATAGAAAATACACAATGAACCAAGGTAAGACATACGTGCGTTATAAATCAATATTCAACGCCCATTTTTTTATCGAAACTCGAATACTGATGGAAACATCCTCCCGTAGCCATCTTGCATATCAATCAAGCTATATTTCTTTCTTTTCTTTTTTCTTAATTCATATCATACAGGTTTTTCTTTATAATTCAGTGCACATGCTATTTATTGGACTTACAAATAATGTGGAAAGACACGTGAATTATTTACCCTCCGAGGCTATCATCCATTTGCAAGGAATTTAATTAGCTTATCACCTTTCAGCTGTACAATGTCGAAATAACCTCAGATGCCGCTAGCATATTCTTGCTATCAAAAAATTAAAAATAGATATTTACTATTTGAAATGGCTATTATTGTTTTATGAAACTCTAGTTCGTGTTGATAAAATAGCTTGACAATATTTTGTGCTAACTTTCAGATAATAAAAAAAAAAAAAACATTTTAGCGAAAACCTCGAAAAACCCTGCCGAACATTTTCTGACGTCATTTTCAAGGTGAATCTACAACCCATGGCATATGTTATAAGCTATGGGTCGCCAAGGGGTAAAAGTGAATTAAAATGTTTTACCAGATAGTCAAGATTCTCACCCATGATGCCAATATAAATTACATCTGTTCCATGATATTTCTTTGATTTAGTTGCAAAATATGCAGGCAAATATTCTGGGACAG